AAAAAAAAAAAAAAAAATGTATACACTACTACAACAAGTAATGAAATCAGGAGATTTCTCAGAAAACTAAAAAATAGAAATTCCATTCAACCTAGCTATTCCCCTTCTGGGTGTCTTCCCCAAAATGTTAAAGACAGCATATTAGAGACACATGCATACCTAAGCAGCATAGCTTATAATAGCTAAATCTTGGATGCAGCCTATGTGTTCATCAACAGATGAATAAAGAATGTGATTTTTTAAAAAAAGAATGTGATATTTATACACAATGGGATACTGTTCAGCCAAAGAGAAGAATAAATTTGAGTCATTGTAGGAAAGTGGATGCAGCTTGCAATTATAATTTAAAGTGAAATAAAGAACAGAAAGTTAAATGTCACATGGAAAAAATAAATAAATGTCACACCATTTCTCATATGAGGATCCCAAAGTGTAAATAATTTAAAGAACAAAATAAAAGATTATAGGAAACAGGGCCAGCCAGATAGGTCAGCAGATTAAAGCACCTGCTCTGGCAAGTGCAAAGGCCTGAGTTCAATCCCTGGTTCCACAAAAAAAAAAAAAAGCACCTGCTTACGCAGACTGAGGGTCCAGGGGTTCTATCCCTGGCCTATCATGCTAGCCCTCACCCAGGGCATGCTGAGACAGCAGTTGAGTCTCAGCATGGTGGCGTGTACCTGTAATCCCAGCACTTAGGAGGCTGAAAACAGGAGGATCACTAGGAGTCTCATCTATGTAGTGAGACCCTGTAGACCCTGCACTAAGTACATTTTTTAAAGAAGATTATAGGAAACGGAGGTAGACCTTTGACAGGTGGGAAGGGGGATTTCAGATGCAAGGAGCAGGCAGAGAGAGGAGGAGGGAAGGTAACAAAATGTAAGATGTGCTATGTATATGTACCAGCTCTCTAAGATGAACATGTTCGTCATGTACTCCAAACATGTACTCTCAGTAAAAAAACAATACATACTAGGTGCCAGGGAGATGGCTCAGTAGAATAAACGCTGGCCTGGCAAGCTCAAGGGCCCGAGTTCAATCCCCGGTTCCGGGGGAAAAAAAAAAAAATACATACTGAGTTGGGGCCATTGCTCAGTGGTAGGGTACTTGTCTAGTATACACAAAGGCCTGAGGGTATTTTGTTGTTGTTGTTGTTGTTGTTGTTGTTTTGTTTAGGGAAGGGCCTCACTACTATATCAGACTCGTGGTGATCCACCTGTTTACAGCCTCCGAAGAGCTGAGATGACAGGTGTGCGCCACTATGCCCAGTCTCAACTGCCGTCTCAGGGGGTGGAACCAGCCTGGTAGGCCTAGGGATTGAACCCCTGGCCCCTGTGCCTGCTAGCAGGCGCTTTAAAAGGCCTTTGTTTAATCTCCAGGATGGCAAATAATAATAAAAAGAATTTTTAAAATTTTGCATGTCAACTTGAAATTCCCTTTTTTGTCCTTTAAAACCTCTGCACACAGGATAATCGTGCTGGATCAGAGTGACTTGTCAGACTGACTGGATCATAGATGGATTCCAGCCTGACTTTTGAGCATCCTGGTTGCGAGCGCCTTTCTTCTCGCCTGCTTCAGTTGCCGTCAGGGCAGCAGTTCAAGTTCTGTACCTCGCACTTTGTTCAGCTGCTATAACCGTAATAGTGGTTTGACCAGGTATTTCCTGTCAGATTCCTGAAAAGTGCAAGATAGTTACAATTTCAAACATTGTTCATTGTGCCCAGGACGCCTTTTGATTTTGATGTAAATATTTGAAACTTTACCTTTGCTATATAATAAAGTTTTTATTTTACTACCATTCACTTTCAGCTGTGTAAGATCTGTTTCTTCGTTTGAGTTTGGGAGTTAGAAAGAAGGCCTTCAATTTTTGATATAAGTTTTACACATAGATAGCTACCACCAATTGTCTTGTTTTATACCAGAAAAACCACTTGGCTAGAACTGCCATGTTGCCATTACCTAGAATTGACGTAGAAGGAAGTGATAAAATCCCTGTATTTGGCACTCTTAAATGAACACTACCATTCTCATATATTTTGGAATGTACTCCTTACATCATGAGTGTAATAGAAAAGTGAAATTGTGGCAAATTTAAGATTACATTTTTTTCTAATTTGGCTTCTTGTGACTATTGACCAAATGATATGTGTACCTAACCTGGTTCCTGGGCTGGGGATATAGCTCAGTAGAATACGCACTTGCCTGGCAAGCGCAAGGGCCTGAGTTCAATCCACGGTTCCACCAAAAAAACAAAACAAAAACCTAACCTGATTCCTAAAGGATTTATGTACTTCTTTACTTCCACTTTGGAATTTTATAATATAAACAGAAATCTCTAGGAAGCTCTGTGCTGCTGGATGTGTGGTACTAGTCAGCTAACCTTGTTTTTGTGTGTCTTGGTAAGAAAAATGTGTTTTGTGAAAATTGTTCTGTTGAGGATGATCATATTCGTATTTCTTTTTTTTTTAATTTATTTATTTATTTATTTAAGTGTGTGTGTGTGTGTGTGTGTGTGGCCAGCTCAGCCCACCAGGGGGCGGGGCTGGCTGGCATGTGGTGCTGGGGGATTGAACCGCGGTCCCTGTGCTTTGCTAAGCTTGTTCTAAGTAGGTGCCCTAGACCACTGAGCCATCCTACCAGCCCATTTTTTTTTAAATTTATTTATTTATTTATTTAATTGTGAGTGTGTGTGAAATTTGGGTTTTTGTTTTGTTTTTTTGCAGAACCAGGGATTGAACTCAGGCCCTTGCACTTGTCAGGGAAGCACTTATTCTACTGAGCCATCTCCCCAGCCCCCATATTCGTATTTCTTAGCATCCATAAATTTTATGCTGCACGGATTAAAAGGAACAGTACAACTGGCTTTCAAGACAAGGAAACAGCTGCTTGCCATTATAACTGGAGGTCCAGCAGAAAATTTTATAAATATTAATGTTGGAGGCTGGGGAGATAGCTCGACCGCACCATATACCTGAGCCTGCCTGGAACTCGCCATCCTGCCTCAGGCCCCAGGTGCAGGATTATAGACAGCCTCGCAAACACTGGGGCCTTCTGTG